TGAACCCTAGTCCTCCAGGAGATGTTCTCATCTGAACTCAAATCCTCTAGATGTTCTCATCTGAACCATAGTCCTCCAGATGTTCTCATCTGAACCCTAGTTCTCCAGGAGATGTTCTCATCAGGACCCTAGTCCTCCAGGAGATGTTCTCATCTGAACCCTAGTCCTCCAGATGTTCTCATCTGAACCCTAGTCTTCCAGGAGATGTTCTCATATGAGCCCTAGTTCTCCAGATGTTCTTGTCTGAACCCTAGTCCTCCAGATGTTCTCATCTGAACCCTAGTCCTCCAGGAGATGTTCTCATCAGGACCCTAGTCCTCCAGATGTTCTCATCTGAACCCCAGTCCTCCAGGAGATGTTCTCATCTGAACCCTAGTCCTCCAGATGTTCTCATCTGAACCCCATTCCTCCAGGAGATGTTCTCGTCTGAACTCTAGTCCTCCAGATGTTCTCGTCTGAACCCTAGTCCTCCAGGAGATGTTCTCATCTGAATTCTAGTCTTCCAGAAGATGCTCTGAAGAGATGGAGTCTCAGGATTAGAGAGATGGCTCGGTGGTTAAGAACATTTACTATTTTTACAAAGGACCTGAGTTCAATTCCCAGCACCTACAGGGTACCTCAAAATCACCTGCAGCTCCAGTTCTAAGCCATCTGACATCCCCTTATGTCCTCTGTGGGCCCTAGATAAGCACATGGTACATATACATACATTCAAACAAAATACAAATACATATAATATAAAAAATAATTCTTTTTTGTTAAAGATGAGAGATGGGGTCTTTGGAAGATGAAGGAGACATAGAGGTGGAGGCTTCATGAATGAAATTAGTGTCATTATTTTTTTTAAAAGGCTTGAGGGAGACCCCCCTCCCTTCCACCAAATGAGAGCGCAGCTAGAAAGTACGATCTATGAAATAGCGAGTGCTCCCCCACCAGACACTTCCCCCAGAGCTATGAAAAATGATGTTTATAAGATATGCAGGGGATTCTACGATAATACCCCCAAGTGGCTTAGACAGTGTCCCCAAATACCATAGGCTATCAGTGAGGGCCTTTTACTGTTCTTTAAGTGGGTCACCCAGTGTCTAAGTTAATGCATCTCTTAGCTTTTGCAGGGGGACACTTACTCTTTTAAATATGCCTAGTTGTTCTAGGTGGTTCTAATCTGAGGTCACATGGTGATGAGCAGAAGGGTTCTTTGGGAAGAGCCAGTAGGCCTACCTGGAAACGGTAAAAGGTGCCATCATCTTTCATGGTGAGAACATGGTCTGAGATTGGGAAGATGTAGCCCTGGGCGGCGATAAGGCTTCCCAGGTGTATTGCTTCAACTGCAAGGAGAGAAAAGGAGGAGGAAGCAGGTCATTCAGCTAAAACAACTGGGAGAGCAGAAGGTGACCCGAGGTCATGTGTCATCCCTCTGGATGACAGTGCTGACGAGGTCTTCCCTGGCTGATGGTAGCAATGGGAAGCCACTGACAATTGAGAAGGACCATGGCATGTCTGGCCTCCTCAGAGAATTTGACAATACTCGACCACTCATTCCCCACAGCCTTCCCAAACAAAGTCAGGTCCAGCAGCACGGCATAGACCAAGTAGCGCCTAAAGAAGTGAGACCTCTCACACCAGGGCCGAGCAGTGAAATACACAGGCGGAGACGGTGGCCTGAGCCGTGGTTCTCCTGTCTCTGATCCTGAGCACCGGGGGTTGCAGTCTTGTGGTCCAGAGGCTTCAGAATCTCCTCGGGCCATGACCATCCCAGGAAATTGGAGGAAGGATACTGGGGTGGGCAGTGCCATAGTGACAAAGCAGATAGAAAAGTAGGTATTTCTGCCAAAATCCACCTGCTGCTTCCTTATCTCTGCCCCAGCCATAAACAGGCTTCCCTCAGTAGTTAAGGTTTTACCTTATCCAGAGAGGAGCCCATACAGTAGGGGGGCTACATTTTCTATGACCAGTTTTATAAGCTGAATATTTTTAAGTCATTTGTCTTGTCTGTAACTGTAAGCTTTTCAATACAACCTAAGTGCTTTACTTTCTAAGAATCACCAAGTCCCCTTGGAAGTAGTACCCATCATAGTTAGACTCTGAATAATGATGTTTTATTGTACTTGCTTCCTGATGACAAGTTTGCCTTTACAATTCTGTCTGGCTGTCACTACATATTCATGTAGAATTTGTCTCAGGACCCCCATGAAGATCAAAATATTTGGATGTTCAAGCCTTGATATCAAATGGCATCATGTGTGTATAACCTGCACACACGCTCCTGCAGGCTTCAAGTCATTTCTAGGTTACTTTTGATGCCTAACACAGTCTAAATGCTATGCAAATGGCTGTTATACTATAAAGCTTAGGGAATCACAAACTGTCTCTATATGTTGAGCAGAGATACATTTTTGTATCAAATATTTTCAATCCAGTGTTAGTTGACTTCAAAGATAAAGCTCTGAATACACAGAAGTCCAACTATATGCTTCAAGAACCATGAGCCAGGTGTGATGGCACAGGTCTATAATCCCAGCACCTGTGAAGGTAAGGCAGGTGAACTGAGAGGTCAAGGCCAGCTTGGGCTACATAGTAAAACCAACCAACCAACTAACCAATGAACCAATGAACCAACCAACCAACCAACCAACCAACCAACCAACCAACCAACCAATGAGCCAACCAACCAACCAACCAACCAACCAACCAACCAACCACCAACCAACCAACCAACCAACCAACCATCCAAAACCCTAACACAAACAAAAGGAAAAATGTCAGGCCAGCAAGAAGTAAAGCTCCATCATTTATCCTTCCCCATGCAAGATGGAAAAGCAAGATCCTGAAAGAAGGTAATGTTGAGCCACTGACACTACACCAGAGCTAGAACTCCTACTTAGAAATTCTTTTACTTTAACAGAAGGGAACAAAGAAAAGACAGAGCAGCCAGCATGGGACTTCCATTAGACATGTTGGTTTCCCAGGCTGTGGTTTGTGGCTCCATCTTAAGGCAAATTGTTTTAGTTTCTCCTTCCTGGCTAGTTCTCAGAAGCCCAAACTTGTCCCAACATCTTAATGTCCCCCCAAAGGTATCAGAAAAGAGTAGACCATTGTAGATGTGACTTTCACCAGTGTGGACCTTCCACAGAAGTTTTTCATGCCAGGGCCAGAGGAGTCTCACTTACATTAGCTGTGTTAGAGTCCTCAGAACATCAATAATTATGAATTCAATGGATACTTCAGAAGGGCCAGGAAGTGCTCTGAACAAATTCTACCATAAGAAATGGCCTTAAGTTAGCATGACTAAAAAGAAACAGTGACTTCAGATAAATGTCATCAAATGGCTAGATGCCTACCCAGACTGACTGCATGGGTGGTCAATCAGAAGTCCAGGCTGTATAATGGAGATACCAAGAGGAGCTGACTTGGAGTCTAGTCTTCCAGTGAAATTCTTAGCTCACAAGAAAAAGAAGTATAGGCCCCTTTTCTTGTGAGCTAAGAACTTCACTCAAAATAAGAATTTTTGTTAGCTGACAGAGTAACCACTGATCCAGGACATGAAAAGGGCCAGGGTCACTTCCAAAAATCACCTGCTCTTCAAGGACTCATGTTTCCATCAACTTCATTTAATAGAATTATTTGAAAGTGCATTGTTGTACACTCAACTTAGATTAGCAATGCCAGGTTAAAATGTAAGCCTGGGTTGGCATATCGATTCCACAAATAACCTCAATGAAAGGCCCAACATCTAGTGTGGGCACTTGGTGCAGATTCTCAGAAAGCAGGGTGGTTAAGGTCCACTTAACTTACGTTATTTATATCCTCCAAGGATGACCATTAAGAACGTTGGTGCAGAGGGCTGGGTATATGTAGCTTAGTGGCAGAATGCTTGCCCAGTAGGAACAGGGCCCTGGATTCACTCAGCACTAATGTGAGCCCCAGAGTAGATCCACTATGGATATTTGTAAATGTGTTCTTTGAGTATTAATAATGCCAGTTAAGCCAGACAAATGGATGTGTGCTAAATGCTAAGGGAAAAAACCCAACAATAAACTCATCACACACTGATGAAAATCAACTTGAGCTGTCTAGAAGTTTCTTTTTTTTTTTTCTGGAGCACCTCCCCCATTTCCTAATAAGACTGTGAAAACACATTGTCCTGCTTATTTCTGGTGGAAGGACAGCTGTGGAAACTGTCTAAACTGTCTTCATTGGTCAGGGTTTTGCTGTTTTTTTTTTTTTTTTTTTTTTTCTGGTATACTTTGCCTAATTGAAACGCACAATTAGAGTTGAAAAAAAAATCACTTCTTCACTTCTTGCAGAAGCAGAAAACAGAAGGAGTTTTAGCAAATAATTAAACATCTTAATTGTGGATCAGGCAATCTAATTTTAAGAGCTGCTTCTAGAAGGCTGTTCTGTGACAGGGCTACAACTTATCTTTAATTGCTACGGCTAACGAGAATTCATCTCATTTCACACGCTATTGTGTTGAGCTCTTTGGCATTCTAAATAGTGGCTCATTTCCTCAAAGGGTGATTTCCACATGATGATAGACATTCAGTGGAGAAAATAAATGACTTCTATCTGCAAATACAATGAGTCCACATCCTGGAATCCACGATGATAAGCCTTCTTTTCAAGACTGTATAAGGCCCACTGGGGAAGTTGTCTATGGCATGTGTACTAACACCAGGGGAGGTAAAGGCAAGGTCAAAGGTCAAATACCTGGGTCCTCAATAGAAAGGTTCTTCATGAGCCACTGCACAATGTCCGTACCTGCAATGATAAAGCAATGTCAGCTGATGATCTCATGGGTAGCAGAAGAAAAATCTCTACTAGAGTCCAGAGCCCAGCGGCACACAACTTGAGAGCTGGATAATACTGCCATTTTCCCCATGCTAACCAGCCCTTCCCATCCACTGGGACATGGCCACCATTATGATTCAGTAACTGCCATCCCTCCTTATCCTCCTTCTTTCATGGAGACAGGCTTTTGTGCATCCAGGCTGATTTTGAATTTCCTGTATAGCCGAGGATGCTGAGATGCCAGTCCTGAGCACCAAGCTTAGTTTATATAGTGCTGGGAATCAAACCCAGGGCTTCACGGATACTTGACAAGTGTTGTACCAATTCAGCTGCACTTTCAGCCTATATTTCAGTTTTTTTTCCCCAGAAAAAAACCCACCATCACCAACAAAAACAAAACAAGAAACAAAACCAAAAGTTAACCAACCAACCAACCAACCAACCAATCAACCAACAGAAAACAAAATCCAAACCCACTTCTGATGCTTCAGTTACATCCACATTCCCAGGAGCATCCTACTTTCTGGGGACACAGATTTCAATGGCTTCCCCAAGGCAGGCCAGTGAAGCCGTAGCATGCCTGCTCCTAGAACATTTTTTTTTTCAGCACTGTGCCCTTCCTGACAAGTGCTAATCAGCTCAGGTGGCCTCAGAGGTGCTTGGAAAGCTTGTTCTTTTCAGGCATGAGTCCAAGCTGAGTCAACGTGCCTCTGAGTCCATGGACCACTTCTGGGTCTTCACTGACAGTTTCTTCTTTTTCATCTGGGCCTTAGCTACCTTAAATTTCAAGGTTCCCTCAAAGTTGGCTGTGGACTGAACCATACTAATTATATGTGGGTAGAATGACCTATATTACTGCCTGCTCTGGTCTATGAAAACCTCCTCCACACCTACAGACCCTTCCCTTATTTATCTTGGAAACTGAATGCAGCAGAGATACAATATGGAAGGGGCCATGGATCCCACCATGAAAATGAATGACTATTTAGATCCCTCATAAGAGATATTATTGTGTGTGAAATAACCCCAGTTTCTTCTAGCCAGCATGTTTAAGATAAGTCACACTTGAACAAAAATTTGACCCTCTCTTACTTCTTCCTATTGGTTTTAGTTTTGTCTTCTGATGACAGAAGAGCAAACTTCTTGAACCCAGATCTCATCACTCTAAGACCATCCCTTCAGATTTTGGGCAGTCTTTTCATAAATCATCTGTGTTATCATTCCCAGTGTGACGGACCTGGATCCATTCCATGGCTTGGCCTGGAGCTCCTCACCATTGGCCAAAGTCTTCCGAACAAACTCCTTTAAAAAATGTCTTCCTTTTTAAAAGATTGCAACTAGAACCCATGTTCCAAGAGCAGCTTAGCTCACACAGGAGTGTGTAGCGGGTGGAGGAATCCCCCAGTGAGTGAAGTAAGGAAGTCCTGAGTGAGTATGTATTGTTGACTTGCACATAGCCATGTCAAGGACCCAATGTCTCAACCCTGTGGGTCTGGCAAAGCCTTCCCCCTGGTGAGGCTCAGAAACATAGCAAAACCTTCTTGGGGGGGGGGGTGTCCAATTGATCAGTGTGCACAAAAGCTAGTAACTGCATCTTACCTTTCCTAGGTGTCTACAGCCTGAACTACTCCCTCACAGAGACCTCCACCAAGACTAGCCCTCCCGACTCCCTGTGCTGTGTATAACAAACACACAGAGGATCTGGGTGGCCAGGGGAGACAGGGCACACACCCCACCTGACCCAGCTTGTCCGTACTTGTGTCTCTGTGTCTGCCCTCTTTTCATGTCTTTGCCTCCCTAGTCAGGGTTTCCAGACCCAAGGTATGGAACACAAGTGCAAGAGCCCAATTATCTGCGAGGTTCCCAACATCTGATCAAACCACTGAGTCACCCAGAGATTTCGTTTTACCCTGGTGCAGACCTCTCAACATGGCTTCGTTACCTCTTAGGGAATGTCTGATGGAAAACAGGCTGAAAGGAACAATATTTCCAGACCTGAGTCAAGAATGGGTCTGAAGCCTTGGTGTGTGTGTGTGTGTGTGTGTGTGTGTGTGTGTGTGTGTGTGTGTGTAGGGTGAGTGTGTGTCAGGAGGGTATGTGTGTGTCAGGAAGATGTGTGTGTCAGGAAGGTGTGTGTATGTCAGGAGGGTGTGTGTGTGTCAGGAGGGTGTGTGTGCATGTGTGTGTGAAGAGGGTGTGTGCGTGAGGGTGTCTGCTAAAGTAGTTCCTGGCTGGATTCCCAGCCAGGTGAATGAGATCCAGCAGAGGAATTTACTGAGGCACCCTTTTCCTGGGAGTCAAAAAATTTTCAGACATTTGACCATTGACGAGAAGTAAGTTCTCTGCTGGCCAGACACCTGGACATTTGGTCTCTGTGTGGCCCTCTGGAAGATGTTGAAACAGTGCTGCAGAGCTGCTGGGCCCCTACCCTCCTCCTCCTGACCTCCAGGGCCAACTTCATTGACAATGCCATTTCCTCACACTTCCGCCTCAACAGCAAGACTCAGAAGCCTCCCACACTTGCTTCCGGACCACATCTGTGAGCTGAAATTGGATGCAGAAACACTCTGGCCCATTCCCATCTTTTGAGAGGGAGTCCACTTGTGTAGCAGTGTGCGTGCATGCATGTGTGTGTGTGTGTGTGTGTGTGTGTGTATGCGTGTATGCACGCATGCGCAAGTGTGCGTGCTCATTTCCCTCAAATTACAGAAGTTGTGCATTTGTCCTAGGAAATGCAGAACAAAGCAGACATCAAATAAGAACTGTAATCCCAAATTGGGGGTGGGGGAGACACACTAACCTGTTCTTTTTTTTTTTTTTTTATCCCTCAAAGAAAAATAGTTCTTTTCTGTGGGTTGCCTAGAAACTGCGAGGCTTCCAGTAGCACCCCGGCTCTCCCCGGGGCCTGCGGATTATCTTTCCGCTGAGCTTGCTCAGCCATTATTTATCACCTGCCAAGATTGATTGCTCACCCTGGGACAATGACAGCCCTTCCTTTCCCCTGTTAATTACTGTCATCATTAATATCCATGTCACTAATTAGTATTCATTCGCATTGAGACTCCTTCCTTGCTATCCTACCCACCACCGCCCCCAGCACCCCAGCACCATTGTCTGGATTTCTGCCCCATTTGGCGCTCAGTTTCTGGCCCAATTGTTCTACCGCTCCACCTAGCTAAAGAATCACAGTTAAGCACCTTTCTTGTAAGGAAGATAAAGTCACAAAGGTCCCCTTTCCTTCGCCCTCTAACAGTTTGGGGACCACAGAGCTGGGTTTTGTGTGACGGTACAGTGACCGTGACAGTCGCTATGCCGTGTGAGGATGATGAGGCTGCTGTTCCTCGCGATCCCGGGCCGGAATACTCCATTTGCTGTGCTCTCACTGTACTGTCCCTTGCACGCTATGGGTACCATCCTGCGGCCTGCAGCAGACATGTTGGAAGGTGCTCAGGGACGGGTGGACACTCTTACAAGTTTCTACGGACAGATCCAAAAGTGGCCTGCTCCAGCTTTGGGGCGGGAAGCGAACCACCGTGGTTCTGCCCCGGAACAAGCAGCAGGGAAGGCAACTACGTCATAATATTATGAACGTGCTCCAACTAGACATGTTCGAGCCAGACGAGAGAATAGTCCACAGAGCCAAGCATCTGCGCTCTCGTTTGTTTTTGTTTTGTTTTGTTTTGTTTGTTTGTTTGTTTGTTTTTTGTCTTTCCTCTCTCCACCAACCCCAGAGACCCACCTTTCCTTCCTCTTAGCAGAAAGAATTTGAAGAAGATTCTTTTCTGTGCTATCAGAAAATAGTTGTTGCCTTTTGTTTCCACTGTTGAATTTGAGACGCTCCCTTAGTCAAGATGTCCTCCGGGGACTTACGGACTGATAACAGCCCACAGCATAACACACACAACACAGCCACCTTTATTCCCAAGAGCCCAAAACACTGACCTGGAAGCTGTTCTGGGGCCAATTGCATGTGTGTCTGTCTCTCTCTGTATGGGTTATGTGCATGTTTGTGTGAGTGCACATACTAGTGTTTTCACATGCATTAGTATGTCCGAGATGAATGCCAGGGGCTTCTTCAGTTACTCCCCATCTCATTATTGAGATAGGGTCTCGGTCTCTCTCTCTCTCTCTCTCTCTCTCTCTCTCTCTCTCTCTCTCTCTCTCTCTCTCGTGGCTTTTTGAGACAGGGCTCCTCTGTGTAGCCCTGCCTGTCCTGGAACTCACTCTGCAGACCAGGCTGGCTTTGAACTTAGAGGATCCAACTGCCTCTGCCTCCTGAGTGCTGGGATTCAAGGCGTGCACCCCCACCGCTCCACAGAGATAGGGTCTCTAACTGAACCCGGGGCTCCTCTATCCAGCTAGGCTGGCTGGCTGTCCAGTGAGCCACAGGGATCCACCTGTGTCTGCTTTCCCAGAACAGAAATTACAGGAATATGACCAGACTCAGCTTTTAAGGGGGTCCTGGAGACCTGAACTCGTGTCCTCATGCTTGTGGGACAGACACTTTAGCAACTGAGCCATCACCCAGCCCCACGGACACTGATTAATTAACTCCCAATACACGAATATCCATGAACTACACCAGAGGGTATTCAAGTACCTCCCACTGCGTGTGTGCTGTCTCCACGAATGTGAGTGGGTGTTTATTATCAGGAGTTACACGTTGTGCTTCACATGCATTATAGTACACCTTTCTACCATATCTTTTACGTATAAACATATTTATTGAACAGGCATTTGAGATCAATATAGAATTCCTCTAACAAGAAAGTCAGGAAATCAAGGCTTATTCATGGAATAATACTTATTGGACAACTAGTACACTGAGTGGATAAAGCGCATCAAGAAGAGCATATATGGTGAAATAACATTTTTTACAGCAGAAAAATACTCCTATTTTATTAATTATGCACATACATACATATATACAGAAATGAAAAAGGCCAGTTCTGGAAATAACTTAAGTTGTT